GGGGGACGTCGTTTATTATGAGGGGGAAGCGATTAATGGAAAGCGCAAGATCCTTCACATAGAGGGAATATGGTTTGATTCATGGTAGGTTGGTTGGCAAGAACGAATATCAAAGAAAGGCTCAAGCTTGCTCCCACGAAGGCTGCACGAGGCTGAAATTTGGGCATGTCCGTAGTAACATGAAAATCCCCAAGCAACCTCCGAAAGAACAGAATCCGTGACAAGGGCAATAAAAATGGGGTACAAAAACTTTAGCATGCCTTTGCAAGTACTCGAATGACTTCACTCCTCAGAAGGGCAGATGCAACTCTGGGCTTCCGGACGCCCCCCCGGTTCACCTCAGCTGCTAAAAGCCATCCCACTGGTGCTTGGGCTGTTCAAGACCTACTCATACTGACTTGGGGAACAGGGAATGGGATTCTAGGGACGACTGTACGGTCATGATGAGGGCCATGAACGATATAGAATCACTACCTCAGAAAAAGCCCGCAAGAGAAATCGCAATAAAGCTGAAGCCGAGCCACGCGGTACTTAGAAATCAGGGAGACTTTGTCCCCGAGCCCAAGGTGACCCACCTTGAATGGCACTGTGCAAGACTCCAGCCTCTCCAGACTCACTAACTGGTATGTTAAACATCCGTCTCTGCTTCTTCTAGTAGTTCAGTGCTAAGCTTCAACCAAGCCAGCATTCCTCCATACGCGAAGTATACCCTTATAGCAACAGGTAGCCGTGCAGCTACGGAGAAGAGAGGCAGAATCATCGCAAGCTCCAAGAACGCAACGTCCCATCCCAAAACCTAATCCAGCTACCTGTAAACCCTAGCATCCAAGCACTAGGACCTGCAAGTTCCTGCGTGGGACATGCAGGCCAAGTCCGGCACCGACTCCTCGAGCAATTGCAGGTAGTCGGGACCTTTGTCCCCGGCGAGTGCATAAACGCACCTCTTCGTTAAAATGAGGCAAACCATGCTGCGATTTGGAGCTTTAATTGCTGTTCCTTGCACAGTTTCTTGAAACATGCAACAGGACATGTCTATGAAAGGAAGGCAGAAAAGCACATATTGACTAAACCGGAACGACTTGGAAATGCAACGCACCGGGCTCAAGGCGTTTTTCGTCGACGTGCCTTGGCCCACTCAAGGACAGCTAGTCCCTTTACAAACAAGAAGCAGAGGCAACGGAGGTAGATGCGAGAAGTTCATGAATACAGAACCTGACAACGAAGCAGATTCCCGCTTTACAAAGGCAAGTGAAACTTCTTCTGCCCGGAGCGCGCACGCCCGGAGCGCGTACATGAGTTTCATGTTTCATCATTGTCCTCATGACCAATGACTGCATGGCGAACATGCAGGTCACAACCATATGCAATCTTGAGGGCTCCGGCTTCGGAAATACGGCCAACGAGGCTTCAGACAAGCGACACCAGGACATGTCGGGCTGCAGGTGCAAGGCGCTGGAGCAAGCGCCCAACCTTAAAAATTCGCTTTGGCTGCAATTTACAAAGCTTTTCGGAAGGGATTGGGTTTCCTACTGTCTGGGTTGAGGCTTCAGGCATACAAGTTCTGAACAGAGGATTCTTCCCAATGCCTGCGTTCCTTCAGCAAAGACAGCTTTTTGCAAATTGCATGCTTTGCAAACTACTCATCAGCAGGGTGCCTTCCACAGTTGGTGGGCTGCGATCTAAGTTTTGGAATATCCTCAATGTCTCACACGTTTAGTTTCTCGAGTTCAAGGAAGAGGCATGCCAAACAGAAAGCTCATTTTCCTTCACACGCCGTTGCTAGTGCAACACCGCCAGCCCCCAGCACAAGGAGAGGTGGACGTCTCCACGTTCCAAGCTCACAAACATTGCGCTCAACTCAAGCTGAAGCCAGCTCCATGGCAATTCGGGCTACATGTAGCTATCCATGGAGTCCAGAAAGTCCTCGGCCGCTCGGATTCATCCTGCTCCACCTGCCGCTGCGGCTCACTTCATCGATGTTGGTGCTTGCCTGGGGCCGAGTCCTGGATTCTTGTCTCTTCGTTTAGATTGGTCCATGGGTCTCAGGAAGACTCTCCCCAGAAAATGTGTCTAGACTGGATGGTCAGACGGTCAGGCTCCTACTGTTGCAGAATTCAATGCTATGCCCTTAAGCGGCCCGACTGAATCTCTGCTTGTTGCATGTCTCCTCGATGATGTAAGGATCATCAGCCAGGGCTCCTGCACCTGCTTCCTCTTGCAGCCGTCTCTCGTGCTTAACGAATGTACTTCTTCCATCAACGCACACCGCCTGCCAAGAAACTTGTTGCACGTCCTTTTTTGGAGCAGGAGAAAGCAAGGGACGTGAACGGAGAGTACTCCAAAATCGTCTTCTGAGAATTACACAGTACCTGCCAGATCTGCCTAGTCTGCTAGTCCTAAGGTCCTCTCATGATACTCCCTTTTTGATCTCTAGAAGATTTCAGGACCCTGGTATTTTGCACCACTGTGGCGCCTTGCCGCCTCAGCTGCTCCAGAACTTGACATGGCGGACCTTCGAAACGTGACGGGAAGCTCTAGCTACAGTACCTGCTACTCAGCATCATCTGAGAACTTGAATCGGCAAATGATTCCTGATTCCGGACTAATAGCATCTTCTCTGCTGACTATGCTGCATCAGTACTGCGTGCTTGTACGGCCACATGTGCTAAGAGGCTGAGACTACTTAGAATTCATGATGGTCCGTTAGGCAAGGTGCTGCGCCCACATGAGTGCGTGCTGGAAAGACACGAGGAGCTGTTGACTGGAGCGCTGAAAGCTCCATCCCATCATTTCTTCTACGCCACGAAAGCACACCAGTCTACTGGCACCAAACCCGATTGACACCGACGACCACTCTGAAACCATCTGAAACCTAGAGCCGTGGCCTTGCAATGCCGCTTCACTGAGCACCAAGAAGTCCGCAGGGTCCACGGGATGCAGAACCGTAGCATCCCCAGGGCATTGGCTTGGAATGTGGCGTCCTGCCATCTGCAACACGCCCGTACCAGCAGCAGCAGCAGCAGCAGCTGGAGAGGGAACTGAAGCAAAGCGGAAGCCGTAGCATACATTTACAGCTACGGCGACGGCAATAGCAGTAGCCGCAGTAGCCGCAGCCGCAGCAGTGGTTGTCGTAGAAAATTGCTTCAGCAGCCGCAGCCGCAATGATCAGGAAAAAACTACACTACAACAGCTCCGATATAAAATCGACAACTGCAAGCAAAGCCACAATAAAAAAGCAACACACACCTGTCCTGGGTAGACCCCAGGCATCAGCTCACGCTGTAGAGCCAGAGGTTCCAACCACGCATTGACTGCGGCGCCCGCGCCGCCCTTGTAGCATTGCCAAACCACAAGGCCAGTATTTCGAATGAAACAATGCAAACTTTCGCTAGGAGTTCCTTCAATTGCTTTGCGATACCAATGTAACTTAAGATGTCTGGTGGATTTGGGCCTGTGGATCAGGAATCTGTGGGGAACTCGGGTTGACAGGTGACTCAGGAAGGGACTAATTATCATCAAATCAACGGCCTGCTTGCTTGAAACCCTTGACTAGCATGATGCCAACACAGCAAAGGGTGTTACTGGGGTCACACCTGGAGTGCAGTACTTCGCCACGCCTGCTTAATTCAGCCCTTGCATCAAGAAAGTGTAGGAAGAAAGGGAGTGGCTTCGACTACCCGCGAGCGCAGCCCTCTGCACATGTTCTTGTCCCCAACAGTTTAGACCATGGTTGCATCAGGACCTTCCAACCCGGCCCTAATCCCCAAGGCCAGACCGGCCACGCCTCCAAATCTGTCCGCAGACGCGTCACCATACGCCGAGAGGCCAGAAGGTGAAAGACGTCCTCCATGACCACAATCCAATTAAGCTCTGCTGATAGCAACTGGCAAGACAAAACCTATATTTAGCAAGGAAAGATCCTAGAATCGCCAGTAAGCAAGGGCATGCAATTTTTGAAGATGAGCCTTTTCTTTGTGATGCAAGTCCCGACTTAATACGACAGAGCTCCACGTCCTGTGTGAGGAGAAAGAAGACTGAGCTGAGCCTGGCTGAAGCCAATGTGGGCTTGTGTGCAGGTCTAATTTCTCTGGCCATGGCCAGCTTTGCAAGTAATTTTCATTCATGCATTGCAGGGAAGCTTCAGGCTTCTTGCAGCTTTCCGAGGATCAGCTACTGACAAAGAATCTAGGCAAGGTTAGCGCTTTGCAGGGACAACCTTCGACAGACTTTTGATGGAGATTGGACCCAGCATCTGTGCACGGACTCAGAGAAACGCTATCAAAGTCCGGCCTCATCATTATCATGAACTAAAAATCACGCATGCCCTGACTCCAAGCCTTAAGCACTTTTGGCTGGGAATCGTAGCTTTGGAAAAAGCAGCAAACGCACAGCGGAATGAAATTGAAATTGGTAATCTTGGGCATTCGTGCCCAAGTGTGTGGGATCTGGGGTTTCAATTCTGCACGTGCGCTAGCCCAATCTTTCGCTCACTTGACTTCCAAGAACCACCCACGCCAAGTCACCCTGGCCGATCTGGTTGGGTCTGCCAGTGGCCGAGGACTGTTCCTGAGCGTGCAGCTGCTGGAGCATCGATGCTTATGGATTGTGAGTAGGACATTCGTTTCAACCTAATTAGTGCAGTGGCGTGAAGAGGCTGTAAAAGAAAACTTGAAGCCGGACCCAACACTTCAGATTTTGGGAAGAGCAGTTACCCTGATTGGGTTCGTGTACTATAAGCAATGAAAATACGTCGCAGCCCCATTAAGAATACTTGCAGCACCTGTCTTACAGAGATGTAATGTACACTGGGGCAGGACCTCTACTCTGAGCCCCAAAGAAGCCACCCACAATTTTACGCAACCACGCTGAGCCAACTTACAGCTGCCTCTGTCAGTCGTGTGCACAAATAGTTGTTTACTTTGAGCAACGGGCTTGACAATTAACAACTGCCGACATCGAGGAACAACTCCTTTTTTTCAATGGCTGTAGGACGGGAAACCACGGTAACGGCTCGTTCGCAGAATCCCAAACCCCTTCACCAATACTCATTGGCCATTTCAAGCGGAGGGCGGGCTGCAGCGTTCCCAGCGGCCTGCTCAATCTCTGACACCTTTCCCAGAAGCCTTGTCTTGGACCGTGCGTTGGCAATAGACAAGACACAGGCAGAACAAGCAATTGGCCACACTGGAAAAATGTGGTACTTCCCGACAACATACCACCACCTAATTTGGCTTTCGTCAAGACCACAACCTTGCCCAGATCCTGGCTACACTCATCCAGCCATGCCACGCCCCGACATTTACGAAGACATCCTGGTCAGATCTAGCGAAATTCAATGTAGGAGGTCAGAAGGCTTTTCAACAAAGGAAGTTGGAATAGCTGATAGATGTTTGGCTAAGGTTCAAGCTTCAGGCTTGCAATCTTCAGTTAAGTGCTGCTGGTTTTGAAACATCACTGCCACTGAATAGAAGTAACATTGATGTCACTTCTGCGTTCATGTAGAAACGAATGCTCTAGGGCCTCCTCGACAACCGCAAGCCAGCGGAATTGGAATCGCTGCCTCAAACCAGGTGCAGTGGTCATTACTGGACAGCACCACCCAGGACCGAAACTCTTCAGGTCTCGCGTCCAATGACGGAAAGGAGAAGTTCCACAGTGACCAATTCCAAAACAACGGCCACAACCATAAGTACTTGAATGCGGTTCCGCAACGCCAAACCCATCCTCTCATTGCTTCAACAACTGGATTTGCATGTTGCTGCACAAGCCCAACACGCCAGCCGAAGGCGCAACACCAAGTGACCGACGCCTCAAGCCCTGAAAAACATTCGCCATCAATGACCTGAAGCCGACGCCCATCTTGCAACCCAACAACCTCCGCACAATCCTGGCAAGGTCATTCAAGACACGAATCCGAAAACATCAATTGTTGGGAGCAATGCGGAGCTATGCTTTGTGTGGCAAGCTGCAGGAAAGCGAAAGCCCACCGAAGTTGCTCCTCAGAAGCGATGGGTTTACGTTGTCCATTCTCAATTGCATCCTGGAATTGTCCCACAGTTCTGTTCCAGCTCCAATCCTATATTCTGCTCATGAGGCCTACTCCTGCCAAGCAGCCGCAGATGGTTCAGCTGTCGATGGCTGCCGGGCAGAGGGCAAATAAACGATGTCGCCAAACTCGGCCTCCTTCTTTGCTGCTTTTTGGAAATCTACGGCATTTGGGACAAAAGATCGCAGAATTTCAAATTAAACTCACAGGGCTTGGGACCTTTAGACTTTGGAATCTCCGGGTGATGGAGCGTGCAACCCTTCACCTGCCATCTCGGGAACTCAAAGCTACGGACATCAGGACTTGAGAGGTTGCCCATGCGAATTAGAAAGCCTCGCCTGGACCCATCAGGCATAGGACCATCAGAGGTACGCGAATCGAGACACTGAAGGCTTTTGACAGCAGGGCACCTCCTCAGCCACGTTCCGCGCTTCAGCCGCCACCTCAGGCATAGCGAGGGTTCTTGGATCTGCTTTCCATGTTTTGGGGTCGTCTTGGAATAGCACAGGATCATCACCTGGTCTTTGTCTTGGTCCAGTTTGAGGCGAGCCCCCCCGACTAGCTTTGCGACAACTTTTGCATTTACTACTGCTGTAGCTGTGAACTTCACCACTACTAACTGCTCGCATTGCACGGGACTCTGCACCTCATGTTGTCGCGAGCCTGGTGACTATGATAGCAACAAGCTTCCACACCATAAGCAGACTTGTCATTCCATGCTAAGCCAGAATATACAGCCTTCCTGTCCCCCCGCCTCATCCAGGAAAAAGGCCCAGTTTACGGCAGCCAACTCAGCCAGCCGAGGTAGCCAAGCTGTCCTGGACTGGCTTCAGTATTCTCACTAGATGGAAGGTCTTGGCCGAAAACGACTCACAAGAAGTAAAGATATTGCATCTGTGGCTTGTTCAGTTTGGTTTGGGTGAAAGGGGAGCAGTCGGGAGCTGACTGTACAGTTTCCCGGCTGTGTAGCAAAGCACTGGCAGTTCGGGAAATGAAAGCTTACGGTTGACATGGCAAGCATCAAAGCTGTGTGGCATGACGAGTGCTCTTGTCGAAATTCTACGCTGTCAGGCCGAGTGGGGTGCCGATGAGGAATCTGCAAACACGTCCCAAGCGGACGTGCGGACATCAGAATCATGACAATGACAGGACCTTTTACTAAAGATTCCCTCCATTGCGCTCCAAAGAACTACTAGAATACTAGAAGCAACTGCGATCTGATACCGCTTCTGTCCTGTGCCTCAACGACTCACCTTACGAGGGGATTAGATAGCCCTGAAAACCTGAAAAGCTGTTCTACCTCTGCAACTCGATACGTGTCTGCCGAGCAACGGCGAACCCTCCTCCTCACCACGCAGCAGACCCCGGAACTGGGCACCCCGGTTCCTGTGGCAATTGCACATACAGCGAAATGTCGTGCTTCAGCTCTGCCAGGCTTCAAGGCCAACATCAATCGGTCAAAATGGGATTCCATGTATAAAGCGATGGTAATGGGAAACATGGTAGGATCCTTCTGATGGGGCTCGGACGTCCAACCATAGCAGAACCCTTACTTACCACCTTACTAAGAAGAGGCGGGGCGCGTTGCCGAAGAGAAGACTGCAACAAAGAACCTGGCAGCATGAGGGGGAGGGCTGACTTGATTGGTTGGATAGGGTATAGCGGTATACCGTTGTTAATGGGTTTTAAGGCTTTCAGCTTCGAAAGCCCCTGAAACTGGAGGCTTGCATGCGGGTGTGCACATGAAATATGCGTGTGTGTGTGTGTGTGCGTATATATATATATATATTTATATCCACACATATAAATGCGTACAGCTGTTTGCTTATGTATTTGAATACACTTTGCATAAGCCTCCTGCTCCCAAACCCAAACACCCAAAGTCTGATCTTTCACTCCTGTTCCTAGACCCAACTACCTGAAAACGAAACCTTCACCCATCCCAAACAGCCATCGGGAAGACTCGAGTCAAAACAGCAATGCAACTGTGGAAAAGCGTGAGATGACACGCTGCAGTGACTAGATGTCTTATCGCGCGAGCACAATGTTACGAGCCGGCTCCCCCTGTCGGCTCAACGGCTGACCAGCCAAAATTTGCTGTCGAAAGGCATGCCAAATTCCACCTGAAGCTGGCTGGCTTGAGTGAATGAAGCTGGTATCCACCCTTAGCCTAAACTCACAGCCCCCATCCAACCGCCCAGCTGCAGGAGGTTCGGGCTGGGGCCCGCATGCATCATCCGAGATTTGCCAGGGTGGCACGTCCTGGCTCGTGGGTGGTTAACGGTTAGCAAGGCTGTTTGTGGTGAGGGTCTGTGGGAGTTTTGGTTCTGGGAAAATGCGGCAAGCCTTCGAGATGAACTCGTTGTGGTCTGCCGCGCTGAGGGCATCGTACTTCTGCAGCAGATACCTGCAGCCAGAGAAACTGATGAGGGTGGGGAAAACTCCTTAACATCTGTGAGGAAAACAAAAGTTGAGGTGTTGCTGTTGAAGGCAATCTGCCAAAAACAAAAAACAGCTGACCAGTTCAGGCTTTGAGTGCATCATGCTGGGGAAGCCCACTTTTGTAAACTCCTTCGTCATCAGCTCCTGCATGCGATCACGCCGCTGCTTGTACTCACCCTTCATTTTCACGCGGAAGTGAGGGAACGTGGAGTCGAAGCACACGGCCGCCTGGAGGCCAAGATACCCGTTCGCATAGAAGAACTGCTCGTGCTCCCCGACCCGCAAGTTGTCCTGGAACTTAAAACCCCGTAACCGTGCTACTCTGCCGAGAAAGGCCATGGGGTGGATTCCAACCCGTGTGCACCCATCTGCGCTCGCACCGGCTACAATGGGGTCCAAATACAACCGGTTGCCTGTAGCGCGCAGTCGGCCACGAAAGGCCCCAAAGTTGCGCTCGTCCTCGAGGATTGGGAAACCCAGCAGGTCAAAGGGCAGGGTCAGGGAATGAAGCTGGCTCCGCATGTGCCAAAGCATGCACTCCAAGCACGACAATGGCGAGCGAACGAAGTCGTCGTCCAGCACAAGCAGGAACTCAGTCCGAACCCGTTGGACCAGTAGCCGCTTGCCGCGTGATAATCCGAAGTCGAAAGGCACATCGATGACGGACATGTAGGGAACGTCCGGGTGCGGCCGTTCCCTGAGCTCATCGCAGTCCACGCCCTCCGCACACTCACACGTCACCAGCACAGGCAAGTGATCATAAACACTGCGAAAGGATGCCCCAAGGCGGTCCAATAGGTCGCAACGAGATGCCGAGTGCGCGACCACCGTGATGTGATCCTGGACGTCGTCGAGCAAGGCCTGCATCTGCACCGTTGCTGCCGTCCTGTGGTCCTGACGGTCTGGGCAGCTCTCTTCCAGTGTCAGGACCATGATGGCAAAGTGTGCTAACAACTCTGCCTCTGTGAGACGAGTGTCCCTTTGCCCATGGGACTGGCCAGGGACAGGCTCGAAGGCCAGCAGAGAGATCGCTGCGTTGACTTGAGCCGCCGACCCACGAAGCTGGAAAGTTTGCTTGTCCACCGACAACGCCTGCCGACAAGAGCGGGTGGCTGGCGCATTGTCCGGAACAACTTCAGGCCCAGAGCCCTCCACACGAACCCAGGACCGACAAAAGAAGCGAAGCTTGGCAGGAGCATCACCGGATGTAATTGTCAACTGCACCTGCCCTCGTGCACATGCGCTATTGCCAACTATGCGCACATCACGGAACGTGCGGTAGCCACCAACATCTCCGGGCAGGGCTGCCTCGCGAGGCAGCGGCTTTGGCTGTCCCGCGTCAAAACTTTCAATCATGGAGTTCTGCAGGGCGTCGAGGGCATCCACTGGAGTGCGCAAGTATCTCCCACCTCGATCTGACTGAAGTGTCACTCCAAACTGCATAGGTCCCGGTGAGAAAGGGCCAAGGTGAAGTGACAGCATCCGCCGCGCCAAGTCAACAATGCTTCGCGGCAGCGCATTCCGCGCTGACGGAGGCCCGTAGTCCATTGGCAGGAGAAGCTTCAACGAGCGTATGAGGGACCAGTCAGCACGCTCTTTATGCGCTCGGGCAGCATAAAGCTGGCTGTGGTGGTGGGGCCGGTCATCCAATTCATCCTCCAGGCCTCGCCGACCGTAGTAGCGAAACCCATCTGCAAAGTGAGGCTCGGCCATGGACCAAGATGGAAGCAATACCACTTCACAGGCATTGCCAGACAGCGCACGCCGGGATCGTACATAGGCCTTATATAAACGCGTGAGGATGGTGTCCATCTCAGCGAGGGATCCTCAGACGTCTTTGCAGAGACTCGAGAACTCTCTGTTTTCAGCATCCTCTTGAATCCCACAAAACCTAAGCAAATCCAAGGATCTCTGCCGTATAAACATTGCAGTCGACTCTCTCAGTAGCTGCTTTCCAATGGAGCAGCCTGGTGGCAGGGCCCGCGGGGCCACATGTGATGCGCAAACCTCGCAGTGATTTGAAGGTCTTTGGGGCCATAGCTTTCGGGGCTTCCGGGCATTCAGGCCTTTGGAATTTCCTTGCTACGGGGTTCAAGTTCCACAAGGAAGCCTGAAACCTCCTATTGCCAACATGGAAGCTCCAACAAAGTACTGAAGATATATCTGCTTTTCAAAAGGTTTCTTGCAACTGACGTCCACATTGTCGTAGAAAGCAAGCATGCTTGCAAAGTCCAATTGCGGTCAGCCGACCTAAATGGGGCATTTCTAGAGCATCCATTATAACATGACCCTGCTAGCTAAGAGTCAGGTTTCAATGCAGTCTGGCAACAGTGGTGATGCCCTCGCCGCGGTCAGTATGGGACCTTTTGCTTGATGACTGGCTGCTTTAGGTTAAGGTTGCCTCAAGCGCAAACCGTCACTGGTCTACAATGAAAGGCCAAAGTGCACCACGTGTCCCACTGCTGCGCGCCCTCCAACACACCCGCAAACACAAAAGAGGATGGCCCTCTTCAAGGAGGGCTTGCAAGGGTGCTCTGCGCCAACAGCTTCTTGAAATCCCTGAGTCTGCTACACAAGCCTTCAGGTCGACCTTGCTAAGCTTCGTCCTATCCTGACTACCTATGTTAAACTTCATCAAAACCCCATTCGTCTGCCTCGGTGTCCAGGACTTTTCGAAGTCCTCATGGCGACGGCTCACCAGGCTAAGGGCGTAGTAGCATAACAACTCTTTTTCGCCCTATGTTCTAAGTATGGCTCGAGGCTGCGCGATGGAGATTTTTCAGTTTCACTAGGCGCTCCCACCCCCCCCCCCCGATATTTGAGGAGCCAAGAGGACAAGTGGACTTCCAACTACGAAAGCTCAACATGCAGGTTTGTTTGGGCCCCAAAAAATCGCCCCCACAACCTGGCAAAACACGTGGGAACCTACTTCGCGAAGTCTTGCGCTCAAGTCCGTGCCAACTTTTTAACATTCTCATACAGCCTGACCTCCTCCTCCAGAACTTCAGACGGCAGCGGGCCGTCCGGCTCCAGAGGCCGTTCGAGAAACACCTCATGCAATGCTGACTCACTGCGTAAAACACAGACACGGCTGCCCCATAATGAAGGACAACCTAGGACAAGCCATGCCATAATCACCCTAACCCAAATAGGCGGCACTAGCTTGTAGTCTGGAATCCTCTACCGGAATCCTCTGATGGTAGGCTGCACAAGACGCCCCTCCAACAAGATTCCCATGGCGCAGTAGCCGAAAGGCTCAAAATCCATCAGACCTCCCCGCGCAGTGTCAGAACAATTCTGGATGGAACAACAAAGCAACCCTCAGCCATCACATGGAAAGAACTTGAAGTCCTTGCCAAGGCACTGCGGCACGCGCGAGGCTCAAAGGCGTAGGCAACCAGGAGTCGAAGGGATTCCTCGCTGCTTAGCGTTGACGATCAACAGGGTTCTTGGGAGTTCCAGGATTCCAGGCATTGTTGTTTCAGGGATTTAGGGGTTTGGGAATCTGAGGGCCGAAGCGGTCAAGTTGCAGGACTCCGGCTTTGATTGCTGCAGTTTGCCAATAAGGTCTGCCTGGTGCTGGTAAGAAGCTCATGGCCGGGATTCTGTTGCTGTGTCGGATGGTTGTTGGAACCTCACCTGGTCATGTTGCACTGTTTTTCGTGTGTAGACCTGCCCCCCCAAACATTCAGGGTTGACCTGCTTTAAGCGGTACCCCTAAACAATTTTGGGGGTTTGCTCAGTCTGCTGCTAATAGTATTCCTAGTACTAGGACTTCTTGAGCCCTAGACACCTCAAATTACTCCCTTTCTAAAGTAAGACACATCGCATTTCCAAAATGAAGCAGGCTACTCTAAACAATTAGCATGGCCTGAATAAGCCTGAAAACTTGACATTGAAGAAGGTGCCCATGCAAAAGACAGCACAACATTACCCAAAAAGCCTGCGGCATCAAACACGCAAGGCCGTGTTGTGGCCAGATGGCCTAGGAAAAATGTCTTGCAGAGTGAAGTGCTCACACCTCCCCAGAACCTCGCCTAGCAACCAGACTGGGGACAAACCGGAGCATACCGAACCTTAGCTTGAGCCTGAAGCAATAGATCAGCTTGGCATCAAGAGGAGCATGTCCATGCTGAGGCTCACCTGGGCAATTCTCCGTCATTTGTAGCAGCACAGTAGAAAAAGTAAAAGCAATGATGATAGTACAAGCAATGATAATAGTACTAGTAATGATCATATTTTCAATAATTAATTCACGTTAATAATAATGGTAGGCCCTCGACTCTTGGAACAACCAGCATCGAGAGTCAGGTATGTCTCAAAAGCACGGCTCTGCTTGCTGCAGAGGCTCCCCTCCAAAGAGGATCTGCAAAGCCCAAACTCCAGAGTTCACCTTGGAGATCAGCGCATCAGGTCGGCTGGGATTGGACCTACGACGCGATCAAATCAAACTGCTCCAAGTTGATCTATAGCCAACCAAGAGATGTGAACAGAGAATGAGACGTCTGGGGTAGACCCTCCAACCTCCAATCCTGGCTTTTCTCCCTAAGTGATTTGCCAAGGGTTCACCATGTTCGCGACACGTCTGCTTGTCGTCCGCAATTGTTCAAAACCAGCTCAAACCTACACTAACTGTGGCAAAAGTTCGCCACAAGCTGTCTATCAAGGGCGAACGGGCTCAAGTGAATCGCGCACGCTGGATGCGCATCCCGTTCATGCAGGAGATGTCTTGCTGGAGTCAACTGAGTTCACACATGTTTTGCACTTTGGCTCAGGTCCCCTTACACGCACGAGATACCCTGACCCCTTCCACAAGAGGCCAAGGGAGGGCCCCGCCACTCATAAGTTATGGCACGTTATGGCTTCTTGGGCCTTTGCGTCCCTTCCTACCGCACATATGCATCGGCCCAGACTGTCACTACGTAGAAATGCGTTGTCCTTTGTAGTGTTTTGATTTGCTGCTGATGGGAAATACACATACAATGACCGCAGAAACTGCGCAACAATCAAGTCTTCGCTCAAGAAGGCAAATCATACTCCACTGCCGTCATCACAGCTCCCCCTACAAATGAAGCTTACTTCATATCATTTTTGGCACTTAAGCTGACCCTGTGTTTGGCGGAAGATTGCGCAGCGCTGCTGGGACGCAGTGAATGCCAGGCCGTTCGGCTCAACACCAACGCGGCCAAGCGCATCCTTTGCGCTTTGGAAACTTGAAAGACTTGTGAGCAGAGTTCTATACCAATGTATAAAATTGGCAAGTACAGGATTTCCCGAGAGCACTGAAGATATTGGACTGGGATTTCGGGTTTAGGTCATTGAGATTCAGCAGCCGGGGGATGAAGCGCTTGATGTCGAGAATGCCGCTTGAATGTGTTAGTTAGATGGAATTCATAAAAGGGGGCATCTAAATCTTGAGCTGGACAAGATGGTGGCTTCCCCTCAATCTTTCCTCGACAGGTCCAATCATTCAATCCTGTCAAAAAAATCCAACTCTACAGCACAGCAAGACGGCCAAGCTTCCAATGCCAAATTGAGATGACATGTGATTGTCATGTGCTTGTGCTAGCATCTCTACCCCTGCAGAAAGCGTGGTCAAACACTGAAGGCCGTCCTGGAACTGCTCATCCGAAAAGCCAAACCTCAATAGCTCTCCAGGTTGGTCATGGATAGGCTCACAAGAACCGCGAGTCTCAAAACCAGCAGTCAGTCCCTGAGGCATTCACTCCTTCGGAGCGCATGCGGAAGAACTCTACTAGGAGACGACGAAATACAGGTTGCCTGGTTGCACTGTTGGATTTCTAGCCAATCAACGGAATTGGGTCTGATTGGGGATGGCATGCTTCCGATGTCTACACTGCAGGTCTGGATAAGGCACGTGGTGTTCTAGTGCCAGATCCTCCAGAGCATGCAGACCATTGACAGCCAACAATGCAAAACCCATTCTGAACTTCTTAGGTCAAACATTAAAACCTTCCGAAGACACACAAGAATCTCTTCTACAAGGTGGTAGTAGCTGCTAGTTTCCTTGCGGAATTCCAACAGCATAGAATCCAAACCCAAGCATAGCTGGGATGTTGAAACAAGCCACTCATCCATGGGAGCTGAAGCCCGGTACACTAGCGTCATGATCAGATCCATGCGGAGCGGGAACGTCACCACGCAATAGCCATCAGACAGGTAGCTGTCCTGCTTAACGACAGGGTGGACCACTATCTCAAAAAGACTTGTACTCACATCAAGACATTACCAAAGCCCAGCTTCACCTGCTTGAGGTCCTTACAGGCTACTGCCTACATCTCGCTGATGCTTGGACAGTCGTGTACCCCGCCACACGTCATCGAAGATACCAGGAATTTCCAGTGATCACAAGTTCTATGAACACACAATGGGCACAAACCGCACTTCGCAATCGAGCTGCCAACCGAGCTTGAACGGCATCGTTCGGAGCGATGCCAACCAAGATTAGGACGACACGTGCCAGCCTGCGCCAAAGCAAAACATGCATCATGCTGGGCAACTACTGATACCGCTAATGCTGCTTCTGCTGTACTACTTCTACTGCTACTGCTTCTTACTACTGCTGCTACTACTGCTACGACTGCTACGACTGCTACCACGCCAGAAACAGGTGGCAAGGTCTGGAACGCTTTTTAATGATGGTTTTCAGGGTTTAGGTTTTATTGATTTTTGTGTTTTAAGTTTTTGGTGTATAAGGTTTTTTGTGGTTTGGGGTCCTTAAGGGCTTAGTGTTTGCATGGTGTTGTTCGGGATTAGCTTGGGGCGTTTAGGGTTTCTAGGGTTTAGGGTTTCTGGAGTTTTGGGGTTTCAGGGTTTGGGCTTTTGTGAGGGTCTTTGGGGTATAGTTTGGGGTTTAGGGTTTAGTTAGGGCTTTGAGGGTTTTAGCTTTTTAGGGCTCTTTGAAAATGTAGGGCCTTTTTGCCACTTGCACGGCCAAGGTTCCAATCCAGTATGGCAACTAGGGCTGTTAGGATTTTGTGTTTTTTGGGATTTACGTAATTTTGTGCTTGATGTTTAAGCTCTAGGGTTTTGAGTGTTTTTTAGGGTTGAGGCTCAAGGCTTTTTGCCACTTGCGTGAACTAGGGCTTTTAGGATTTTTTGGGGGGGGATTTAGGCCTTTGTGGCTTTAAGTGCTTAAGGTTCAGGGTTTTGAGGGTTTAGGTTTTTTGCCACTTGCATGGCCGAAGCAGCGAAAGGCACAATCCGGGCCAGGTACTACTTCGAGTGGAAAGGATGCTGACTGGAATCTAAGGCTTTTGGTTGTTTATGGTTGAACATGTTTAAGGTTCTTAGGGTAGTGCGAGTGCCTCTGCTTCTGCAACGGCTACACTGCTGCTGCTACCACCACCGCCACTAACACCACCACCAACACCACACCAACACCAACACCGCCACCACTACCGCCACCATCACCACCACCGCCGACTACCACTACCGCCTCTACTTCTACTTTTCCTGCTACCGCCTACACCTATTGCTTGCACTATACTGCATCGACGACTCCGACTGCGGCGTCGACGACCACCACTGACACTAGGAGAAGTATCCAACCGCTTGGGGCACTGAGATTGCAGATCCAAGCCCGGACTTCCCGTTTTCACGTAGAAACGAGCCGTAGCCAACAAAAGCTTCTCTATACCAACACCAAACACCCCCCGGCTACGAAGCTACAAACAGACAATGACCTCTGACGCCTTCACACAAATAACCTGAATGGCGGGTTGCTACCGAAACCCTTAATGTCGACCGTCCAGTTTGTCCCTCGGCCCAGTACTCCAAAAAGGCACACCTAGGCTCATACAGTGATTGTGCACGACAAACGGGACCCTCCTGTAAAGAAGGGCCTATAGGATCTGCTTTCTCTCCCAAGGAAGAGAACTTGGATGTCTGCACATGGGCCAAGAAACGGATGGTTGAAGAGAACTGCGTCCACGGCAGAGAACTCCGATGCAGCCATGCCTGCGGCAACTTTGGCCCGGCTGCTCGGCTCATTTTCCCTGAAACACTATTAAGTCGTATTGTCTGCTTCGTTGTTGTACCCGATGTCATAATGGCAAAATGCGCTGAAGGTGGTCAGGACCTCTCAGTACACCCTTAGCCCTCTACACCCTGAGCCATCTGAACCTTAGCAGCCCCACAACCTCACCTTTCTGCCCGAAAGCATTCATCAGCAACGGGAAGCTGGGGAAGATGATGCACACAAAAAGGAGGGTGTCATGCATCATGAATCCTAAGCCTTGCAACTCAAGCGTCCAGCCTTCAGCCGGGCCCTGCGAGGTTCTTGCAAGGAAGAAATTCGGCCTTGGATTTCTGCAGCTCCGCTGTTGCTGTGCCTATGAACGATCCGGGCCTCAAGCTTTGTCAGGCCCCCTTGAAAGCCTGGCAAAAAAAGTTCAGCATGCGACAAGGCCGATGGCAGATTACGCACACATGAGGTCAGCACCCTACAAAACTGAGTAGAAAAAGAGCCTGAAAGTCAAATGCCCGCGAGCTCCAAATTGAACCTGGATTGGCGATCCATGTGACCCCTCCTGAAAATTCATGTTGCTGGACCGTCTATCTTCCGCGCGATCATCTTGGCGCATGTGGATCCAAAAAAGTCCAAAGAACAATGTTGAACCCTCAATGTAGGTCCTCTTTTGCCCAATATGAGGCAGGAAATCCTTAAACCCTTGCACCTCTTCAAGGCTATACCGCACCAGTCCCAAAGACCCTCAACCCCAAGCCTCAACTCTACCAGGCTTGATGCGCCACCTGCACCTCTAGCCACTCAACTTGATGAACAATGAGCTCTCAATTTATCTCAGATACCCGACAGCCGGAAGTCTGAAGCTCACGCCAAAATCCTGAAGGCTCCCAAGCCCTGCCTATCTCCTGAGATGACAGAAAACCTGCCCTGCCAAGGAGCCCATCCGCACAAAGCTCCGGCGATCTGAAGATTTCAGTGGGCTGAACTCAGGTTGTATGTTCACCCCTCCTTGTGGGATTTGTAGCCAGATAGCTGGGATCGCACAGGCGTTAAGTAGTGAAGGCACCGAGGAATCAGCACTGAGTTGTCGTCTCCTTCCATGAAAGTAGAAGAAGCAGAAGGCGTTGTCTTCATCATAGTTGGTGAGACATATTGACAACTATCCTACCATGTTTTCCTACCTTGTAAGCCCCCGCTTCTGGCATAGAAAGTTGTGTGCAAAGCACAACGCCCTAAACTAGAACAACCCGGAAGCAAGCTGAAATCCAGCCAGAAACTGCTCCTGCAGCAAAGATACCCTGCCCGTGCCCTCGCATCGTCGAAAAGCGAATCCAGAGACCAGCTAAGCGGAATCCTCCATGGCGGGTTTGAAGATGTTTTAATGTTCGGAGTTTGGAAGACCACACGGCTTGACCTCACAGCGTTGCAAGGACGTGCACAGGTGTGAGAAGAGTTTGAGGGCACAGGACTTACCAATTTGTGGGCGGCATTAAAAGAACCTCTCCAGATTTTCTGAAACTATGACAATGATGAAAGCAGGCTGCGGCTGCAGTCTTGTTCCACTGGAAGCTTCAGAAGGATTAGTTCTGTCCTGATCGGCCGAGCTAGTGGAAAAGCAGATGTATGGACGTTGGAATGTCGTAGCAGTATGCCCCTGTGATCATGGCTGCACTACAAAGCTTCCCCAACATCAGCCAAAGTCTAAGAGGCACAGTCTGGAGCCTGCTGTGCAGCAACTGTCATATGACCATGCACAAAGCTGTTTCAAACCCAATCCGATCTGGCAGGGAAGCCGATGCGGCCAGCAACCCAGCGGCCCAAAGCCACATGGCTCGAGTTGGGGCATTTATGTTGCATTGAACATGTGCCATTGTCTTGTTGCAATTCAATTTTTTGGACTGCAGTATCTTTTCGGCATCCCTTCAGGCACAGGCTGTAAGGTTTAGCTGAGAACAACTGTAGTTATCTTGTTGGCTGGAGGTGGGAAATCATTTGGCAATATGGACAGGGCGACAGGCGAAACTTGATGGGTTTGCGCTTCGCACATCTTCAGGCTGTTTTTCGTCAAGCGTGCAAACAGTCTAGAGAGAGTTCTGCGAAGACCTTATTGAAGTTCCAGGAACAACTGGGGACTCTAAACTGGATGGGCAAGCCAACTTTGCAACTCCTTCCACGAGCCCCTGCAGTAGAAGGAGCAATTGCACCCTCAAGATTTTCATGGTGTTTATCAACTGATGATCCTAACTTGCAGTGCTTTACATCCGTAGCTGCGCGTTACCCAGCGGGGATACTTTCTCATGGCAATTGATGTCATGGCAGTTACCACAGTACGGACAGCAGTACCAGTAGCAGTGCCAGTGGAAAGAATCAAAAGAGCAAGAATAGTAGAAGGAGAAATACAAACAGAAGTAGGCAAGTTAGAGAAGCCATCATGGCGAGGTAAGCAGCCGAACGCGGCAACAACAGCTTCGAGCAATTGTTTTTGTGGCAATAGAGTCCTGGCTGTTATATTTTGTTGTAACCTTCATGCCCTAACCGCCCTAACCCTCTCACTGCCCCGAAGTTGCTTCTGATTCTATGTGCCTACAGCTCCAGGGCTGAGACATTCAGCGGGTAGCCAAAGGCCAGCACATAAAAGACAACCTGCGCAAGCCTCAAGCAAATCCGTGGTCACTGGCCAATGCTTATCAATGACCTCTCAAGGGCATGCTTTGCTAAGGCTAGGCACCCTGATGGCATTGATCTAAAGAGAGGCTGGCCAGTGCCTCCCGCAAGCTGGGATTAAAACCAGAAACTAAGCTAATTCGGAACCGCAGCGGGCAGCTGCATCCAATGCATGGCCAGGAGTGATGCAACAGCGCTTCGGCAATGGCACATGCTACTACAAGACACAAGCATGCCATTACCATTGCCTGCACGGCCACGGTGCCGATCTTCACAAAAATTCTCCTCACGCACACGGAATAGAATGGATTCAATGCTTGCGCTCTGATTTCAGCTCGCACATCAAAAAACAAATGTCCAGCGGAGTACTGCTTCTGATGGACGCCACGCCAGCGACCCTTTGGCAGTAGAAGCTTTTCAAACCCTGCCAGGGACCCGATGCGAGATTGCGCAAAAGAGACAGTGATAGCAGAATCAAACAAGCAAGAAGATGCAGCAGCATGCATGACAACTTACACTGGTGATTTTGTCCTGGCTGTGCGCAAGTGTCTTCTGGAGCTTGGTGCTTGCAAGCTTCACTCCACAGACTCACAGGAAACCATCATCGTCTCAGTGTTGAGGGCGACATCAAAGTTATCACCCCCTTGACCTGCCAGCAAGGATTTGAACTTGTCATTCATTTCTGAATTTGCGGAGCTTGACACATCATGACAACAATCTTCTACGAGATCTGCAACAAAAAAATATCTAAAACACCTATCAAACTGTGCGGGCCATGCTGCCTTCTACAGCCCAGTTTCGTCCATGCCCTTTGTTCTTGGACCCAGTGGCGGCTTTGGACCCGGAACCACCGGGCTTTAACACGACCACCTCCTTCACAACGGTTCAGAAACATCGGCCCTGCACTTTCACACGCATATCTATATACCCTATTCATATGATAATGGTTTCCATAATTATTTCCCTTATCCCTATATATCCCTAATACACATGTACATCAAACGCATAATGCTGTCCTGTTTGTCACCGCCAGCTGGGTACAGCCGAATGTCCCAAGTTGCATTGCCAACTATTTGGAACTCTTCTCGGCGCAGCTCCCCAGCTTTGGGGGCATCATTCCTGATCACAATTTTTTGTCTGACGACGGGATCATCCCCGGCCATGGCTGCTTTGTGGATGGCCCACTTCTCCCATGAACCAACCATGTGATGTGATTCCACACTTGCTCGGCTGGAGTCGCCTGATGGGGCTTCGCCGTCTTCTCCACCTTCTTGGAGCTGCACATCTGATGCGCGGTCTTTCCGCTTTTTGTCATCCCACTCAGGTGCAAAACTCACGGACAACCCTGGTGAGAGCGTCACACCTTCTGCAATACCCGTTCGATGGACGAATACATCTTCTCCGCTTTCTGAAGGCGTGATAAAACCGAAGCCTTTCTGGTCATTCCAAAGCTTGACTGTGCCCGTCTTACGGTCAGCGAAGCAGCGGACAGCCCCGAGCCAAGGGACTGCAATGCGAGCCTTCACTGGTCGCAGCGCATGCTGCAGCGGACGAGACAAAGAACCAACCCTCATGTTGGGGCGCGGGGATGGTTCACATCACAGCCTGCTCGTACAATTTTGTAACACGTCTAGCACTGAGCCGAAACCATGCGGCGAAGCCGTATCCATCAATACACAACCCAATTGCTCAACGGCATACGCCTATTTGCATCCTGTTTGAAAGCACCTGCCTTGCGGCAAGCTGGAGCAACCCGCGTCCTTGCATGGCAGATGCACTGTCAGATGTGTCTGACGGCAATTAGACGCCCACTGTGGACTGGGATTGCCGCAGTACCTCCCGCAAGCCAGCATCGCCGCCTCCGGACCGACCTCACCGCTTGTTTCTGTTTGGGCAAACCTGAACTGACATGTTGCATTCACATGTACTGGTGAATCATGTGCTGCCCAAGGTAGCGACGCATGCACTCCTGCAGCTGCAAAAATTGTTATGTTCCATGCTGCTACACCACATGATCACTGTATGTGTGCCCGGGAGAATCCTTGAAAGAAATTTGTCGGTCGTAGGTAATGGCGCTGGTGAGCAGCGAGGCCTCTCCCCATCCGAGATTTGTTGTTGCCACCGTTGTGACCTGAGATGACAATTCAGGCACACAAAACAACTGTGGACACAAAATCAACCTCCAACATGTGAGCAGCACACCGCGAAGTTGGTGCTACGTATCATTCCAATACTGAAGCATGTCCACACACTTGCTTATATCCCAGAATCCCAGCACATGCCCGTCTTCCATGTCATGCCCGATAACACTCCTTGTTGCTTCGCCAGTCAGCCGGTCTCAAATGCTACGAGCAAACCTCTCGTGAATTGCGAAACCAGCTTGTCATCTTACATCATGTTATGAAAGCTAATCGTGTCAGGCCCACTGCCAGGCCAGAGTCAACACATTGCTTACTCGGGTATGGCACAGAACTGCCACATACACATGGGTTTGCCAAACTCGGCTTCCTGCCATGCTATCTGGGCCCCCTGCGACTCTTGGAAACATCAGCCATTAGACATTATTTGACGAGAACAAGCCGTGAACAAGCCATTGCAAGATATATACATGAGGTGTCATGTCGAAGCTGCTGTCAAGGAAAGCTTAACCAAATGTGTCGTAGACCTTTACTTTTTCTACCATGTCCTGATGGCTTCCATGAGGCGTTCATTGACACAGCTGCAGGCCAAGTTATGTTCCTTCGTTCTCGCCCTGTCGGATGAGCATGTGTATACTGGACAAAAGACACGTTATCGCACACCCTAAACTAGCAACATCACTTTGCGTCGCGTCCTCAATGCCTACACGAAACTCCCGCGTGCAAGTTGTTTGTAATATTTTTGATGGCAATTGAATCAAGACACTTTTTGGATAATGCACGTTGAAAGACCTTTTACAACACCCGACTGCAAGCTTGGCGGAAAACATCGCGCACTGGCGGGTTTACTTGGCGGGGTGTCTGATCCAAAAAGAATTTTTGTCTCAAACCGTTCCAACATTTGGACACGCAGCTCCAATACCATGGGAGGAATTGGAAGTGCTTCAAGTCACCGATTTAGTCATGTTTCTTTCGGAAACTCCACTCCGCCTTTTTCACGGACCTGGTTGCATCCGCCAGGAATCTGGTCTCGTGATGTCTGGTGCATTCTTTGTCCACGCTTGGCTGTTCCCGCTAGAATTCTACGGCTGCATGGAGGGGCAAACCGCAGCCATCTGCACCACCTCCGGCTACACCCTGCTGCCCTTGTGCACGGCCCCATGTTGTCACGACTTACACCGTGCCTTGCCGCCTTCCGCCACGGCGGCCCTTGCACACGAGCATGACGGGGCGGTCCTAAATCCCTCGCGAGATTTGTTGGCCAATGATGCGCGCCCAGTTTTGCTTGTTTTTGCCACCAAGCAGGCGCAGTTGCCCCTACACATCGGCGGCCTTGGATTGCGAGCTATTGAAACCACTCGTTGTGGGTCACTGCTCAAGCACATGAAACTTAACAATGCCTAAGAAATTCACCAGTTCACTTGTGCCAAGGCATTGCCAAGGCAAGTTTGCATATCCTTCTGCATGCAACCACTGAATGCCTACATGCAATCACTGCGTTTGCAGAATGCAGTCATCGTCATGTCATGTCAAGCATAAGGTACGAGCAAAGCCCTTATATACTGCCCACACAACCGCCCCCAGGCCGAGCACGGCTAAATGAGAAAGCAAAATCGAGCCACAAACTCGTGTTTCTGGCTGCTGGAAAAGCAAGCCAAGCTCACGCGCAAGGGTCCTTCTAATATCTTGCACACATGCTGCTATAAGCTATGTAGCGCGGGTGACAGAATTGGTTTGCTGTACATCCCTGCCCGGTCTCTCCTGCCAGGGAAGCATGGCTTTTATTTTTTTTTGGTAGCACTTGGCGTTTGTTTTTTGTCAATTTGTTGTGATCACGAACCAGATTTACACGAGCTTAGCCATCAGAACGTCTGGCATCCTCAAGTCCATCATGGAAATCCAAATGCCAGTCATGCTGACGAAAACCATGGCAAAACATTTATGCTGCCAGGCATGCTGCAAAAATCATATGGCAGAACGGTCAAAACAATCATCTCGATCAGACTGTGAAAATTTCAAGCAGCCAAACAAATTTTCAGTCATGCGAGTGATCCCCCCATTAACCGTCTACGTGGTCACGCCAGAAAAATTCCTCAGACCTTACAAAACGGCTGACCGGTTTTTTGCCGGATTTGCAAGGTCAAGACAGCCCAAACCCTTAACCCTTGGTTGTCCTTAGCTTGGAGCTGAAGTGTGGCGGGGGGACAAGCCACCACAACAATTAACGAGGCATGGTCGCCCTCGGCTCCCCGTTTGGGCGCCCGGACGTCATCTCTGCATGGATCCAGCTGCCCCTGGCCGAGGAAAGCAAGAATTGCTGCGACATCTGCCCCTTTTGCCCAATGTACACCAGCAGGCCACAACTCCGCACTTCACCGATTGGCGTCATGATGCTTCATGTGCCACAGGTGAGCGCTCCGAATCAACATCTGAAGGGTGTAGCTCAAGTTCAAGGTAGGGTCTTTTGCCCCTCTAGGGTTCAATCTCGCCCTTCCTTTCTTGCAGGGTTTGCTATGGGTGGATGGCTTTTATGGGCCGGGCAGGCCTGCTGGCATGGCTGGTCTGCCGCCTCCACTGCGCTGACCTTTGCGTCCTCCCTGCCCACCAGTTGTCGTCAAAGCATGACGCATGCGTTGCTCATGTGCGGCGGTGGAGCCCCGGCATATTTTACGCCGGGCTTCGCGCCCTTGAGCCTGGCCTGGGGGTGGCTGCTGCTGGGCGCTTTGCTGGGGGCCACAGCCACAAGGCTGGTCGTCTGGACCGTGCGGAGCTCGTTCCCTTTGCCAGCCGAACCCGCACTGCGGCGCTGCGGCGACAAGTCCCTGCGCGCACGCGCGAGCGCAGCCGCGGAGCTGCTGCAATGCGTGGCCATGGGAGGCGAAGGCGAGCTGAGCGCAGCTGCGGAAGCAGCAGGGCTGCCGCCGGCGGGATTGCTGGAAGCGCTGTTGGGAGACCTGTTGCTCGCAGCGCCTGGCACCGCCGTTGCGGACCTTCGCCCTGCGCCCGCG